AATTCATTTACCGATTATGGAATACTTATATAAAATAAAATATAAAATGATTCTTAAAGAAAGATTAGTAATCAAAATTATGATAATAAATATAATAAGTATGATGCTAATTATCATTGATTAATATTATTAGCATTATAACTTCGATTATTATAATTTCAGAATTGAATACAAATAGAAAATAAAAAATGTGAAAAGTTTGAATGCATTATAGCATAAAAATTTCGATTAATGTTAATAATTTAAATAGTTTTCTAAAAGAATCTTAAAAAGATTCAGAGAGATTCAGTTTTATTTTACTCAATAGATATTATAATTTTATTCTATGCTATATTGATAAGCAGAAAACTAACAACATTATATAATAAAACATTTTTTACAAAATTTTCGAGTCATCCAAAATTCTTCTCGCAAATATTGTTTTCCTGTAAAGTAAAATTACTTGCAAAATTTCAGCACAAAATCGATTGTAATAAATTTTTGGAAATACAATCTTTTTTGTTATTGCATAAAATATAATAAAAACATCATGGATTTTTCAAATTTGTTTTATAAAAATTTGTTTAAATACAGTAATGAATAAATCCTGAATTATAATCCTGATTAAATAAAAATATATATTTCTATTTTAAAAAATGAAGATTATCTTAAGATCTTGAAATGCTTCCTTCTAAACAAATCTGATGATTATTATAAAACTCTTGAATCACAAGTTAAAATATAATATAAATATGTATAATATACATATAAGTTTCAAAAATCAATTGAGTTGAGATATTTTTAATAATATATAGTTTAGAAAATTAGATAGATTAATTGGATAGATTAAAATGAAATATTCCGTATATATATATATGTGTACATATATCCTATATATATAAAAAAATAACTAATCATCGGCAATCATTAAGAATCGATCAACAAAATAAATGAATTCTGAAAACAGTCAAATAAAATTTCAAACTCTGTGATTTGCATTTGTTATTGGATTTTTTCCAAAAAATAAAAATAAATTCCATTCGAAGTGTTAATTAAATTATTTAGTTTATACATTAAGTATTTTATTTTTCTTATTATCAATCTACTGTCTCATTCAAAGATTTGTCTGAAATGTTATTGACTTCGATAATTTTTGAATGTGTTGTAGAAATCGCTCAGCCTTAATTTTCGAAATATTTGCAAAAAATGGTAGTAATTATTTAAAAGAAAGAGTCTTCTGATTTCGATTATCTTAAAATATGTTATTAATTATTCTGTATAATTATATTGTTCTCTTTGTATGATATCATCACTTCGTTTTAGGTTCTGAGATACTTATAAAAACTACAATAAATTCTATATGCTTTATTGCTATATATTGGTATTGATTGCTTTCCTCGCGATAGTTAGATATAATAAATTAATCTAAATCTAACCTGAATTTTTTAGTTTATATCATCTATAAAAGAGAATGCAAATTCCTCGAATGAAAATCCCGTGTAATGTTTGTATTATATATTTAAATAATATAATTAATAAAAATATAGAGATATAAAGAATTCTGTTAAAATAATTTCTTAATTCACACGTTAATTGATATTATCATATTATATTTATTAATCATTTCATTTTCCACTGTTTTCTAGCATTATTAAAGTGAAAATCAAATGATTTACAATATGTTATTATAAATTAAAAAAACTAAAGTTTATTATTAGATTAACAATTGATATACTTATATCTAGTTAATGTCTAGTAATTCTAGTATCATTCTTATCAAGAGGTACGCTACATTTATACATCTACGTTTATAAAAATGATTTTTTTTTTTGGTATTTTATACTATTTTAAACAATAAATAAATGAAAAAATATTTATACAATAATTGTGATTATTATACAAATTGTTAAAATATTTTTATTTCCTCTTCTATTTCGTTTTTCAAACAATAAATTGAAACAAATAAAACCGGATTTGTTCATAAAAAATTAGATAATTCTGCATTATGCACAATACAAATATATTATACATAACACAATACAAATAGAAATAAAGAAAATTTAATTTATTTTGATTGATTAGAATTTGGAATAAATTTTTTTTATATTTTTCTTTTTTTTTATTTCAGTTTCACAATCTCATTCAAATATAGCCTCGAATAAACATCAATATAAATTATTTTATATTTTAACTTTTTGTAATTCATAAAATTTGCAAATTCCTTCGTAATAAATACATTTATTAAGATTTATTGTCTTGTAAGTCTTGTTTTATTGAAATTGTAACGGAAATGTAATAATGATTACTAATCAGATCTCTTATCAGATAAACAAAATCTAACAGATATATGCTAACATATGTATTAATATATTTATTATTTATAAATTAAATCAAAGCTATTATTATTTTTTCAAAAAATTTTATTTTACTTTTCATATATAATTCTATTTTAATGACTTATAATTCTGATTAAAATATATTAAATCATATATTATATCTAATTACATTAAATATAAGTATAAACAACATATTATCTCAGAATAATATCCTGTTTCAATGTTATCGCTATATAAAAAAAAGAGAGAGAAAAAAAATTATTCAACAATGTCAATCACAATGATACGGAAGTATCATACGTAGTTATCACGGCGATAACTACTTATATACGCTAGCATCAAGAATAGTCATCAAAAAGGTATTGAAACTTTATACGTTATATTCTATCCGGAAAATTGATCACGATGTATTTCATCACGGTGTCGTTCATTGTGGTTTGTTCTATGCCAGGAATTTTGGCCAACATGTTGTATTATGATCAACGCTTTTTGAACGCAACCATTGAAGCTTTGGTAATGACCAATGGACCTCTAACTGGAATCAACGAAGGGTCAGATCGTTCAAATTTCTGGCTCGAATTCGAAAATGGCTTGCATATCATAGTTCCATGCGATTATGATCATCATTATTATAGCAAACTTAATACATGCATTGACACATCCAAAATGGGGATAATCTATGATCACTGTCAGGTAAAATAAATAAGATTTATTATATATATAATTGTAATGAATTATAATTTACAAAAGATTTAAAAATTATATTATATATATATATATCGCATAAATGAATTATTTATACGAAATGAGTTTATAAATATGAATATAAAATTTTCGATATAATTAAAATTGATTCAAGCTATTAATAATTATATAGATTGATTGTAAGTATTTATATAAAATTTTTCATAAAATTTATATTTATATATAAATTACATGTATTTGATTCATCTTCGATTATAATTAAATTTATTTTTTTTTATATATTTGTAGTTTTCAAGAAATCCCGATTGTTGGAATGAAATGCCTTTCTGCTTTTTCAATAATGAGAATGGCAAATACAACTATGATAACTGTCTACCTTATTTTAAACGCAACGATGAAGAATGTCGATGTGAACTCGTGCGATAAAATAAATGAAATAGAGATAGATGAAACATATAAGACAATAGAATATAATTATTATAAAAAATAATATCAATTATTCGAATTAATATTCGGATATTAGAATTATTTCAAAACATTAATGCGTTCTATATTTATTTATTGTAATTTCATTGATTTTTTTTTTTATTATCAAAGCATATTTGTTATAGTTAATAAAAATATAAATTTTTATTAACTAAAATAAATAATAACTAAAATATAATTATTAATAGTAATTTATTAAATTATAAAATTATTAAATTATAATATTTAATAATTAAATTTATTATATTTATAATTAATTATATTTATTTATTTAATAAACAATAAATAATAATCAATTAAATATTTAATATCGAAAAAATATATGAATATATATATATTAACAAATTAAATTGAAAAAATAGATATAAAAATATTCAAAAATAATAATATAAAAATAAAAATAGCAATTTTTTAGAAAAAAATATTGTGTTTGATATTATGTTCCCTTTCTTCAGTGATACATTTTAAGTACTTCTCATTAAAAATTAATAGATAATGGATTTTGTTGACAATGGACTTCATGTTTTATTTCTATTTTAAACAAATTCATTATTTTTATTTAATATTGTATAATATTAGTTTTTTCAACCATTTGATAATCAATTTTTGACATAAGAATATTTATATAAGTACGTATCATAAATTTGCAATGTTCCTGATTATTCATCTATGTAAAAGATGGTTTTTTAAGATTTTTCCTTCCGTCTATCTATAATATTCAAATAATAAATTTAATAAGCAAATATTTTATTTTTGGCACATAATAAACCGACAAATTTTTTATTTTTCATATATTATATATATATTCTATTATAAAATTATACTCTCATTGTAAAGTATCGTAAAGTAAAGTTAAAAAATCTGCTGATTTATTATCTAAGCATTATAAGATAAACAGAAGAGAAATTTTTAATACTTAGTTTATAATGTCTGATAATGAATACATTTTTACTCTTTCGAATATAAGTCTATACAATAGAGTAACATTGGTAACATCATCATTATTTTAATCATCATGATATTTTATTTTTTCAAGATTATGAGATTTCTAATAAATTAAGTAATTAATTTACTTTGTATGGAAGATAAAGAAAAATAAAAATTCTTAGAAATTCTCTTGAACATTAAATAAATTCTTTTCTTAATACTCTTTTCTTAGCATTATATATATATATATATATACAATGATATATACAATATGTACAATAACACATAGACTTGATTTTAGATATGAATTGGACATTTTAACAAATTTTATTCAAATGTATTATTAAACAAAACTTTTGATTTTATTTCTTGTGATATTACTGTTAAAATCGAAAGCTGAACGACTTTATATTATTGCACAAATGTGGTGCCTAAAATAATGCCACTGCTCAAAAAATCATCTACTCCCGTATAATCGGATATAGGACTGTATAATCGTTTATATTATGAACTTTGAGTAAACAAATAATGGTAATTCAATTCTTTGCAGCTAACTTTGTAATAATTCTAATTGTATTTTGTATTGTATTTTGATGCAAATTATATCATCGCTGAATTCTCTCTGCTCTGTATTCTCTTTCTATATATTTCTATAATTCAATTATAAGATGATCGTAAATCTTGTTTTCCAATCGTTGCTTCTCGTAAAAATGCACACTGAGGGGGTTAGAGAGACTAATCGTCGCATTGGAGAGCGGTTTCGAAGGATGGGCCCCACGGGATCGTGGCGTAGGAGTCAGGACTTTTATACTCGGTTCCACGCAAGGAGTGCAAGTGTGATTTGTGAAATAGCCGTGTTGTGATATCACTGTTTAAATTGAGGATCTGGAAAGAGTTAGGAAATCATTATATCCATTTATAAATTATTGTTACGCTTGAGCATATAAAAATAAAAGTTAGCTTCACAAGCCCTGGGTCTCTCCTTAAGCTTTATTTTCACATTTTAGTATTTTCCTATTTTTACAAATGATATGATTGCAATGTAATTTGACGAAAGATCATTTTCTCATTCTAATATATTAAGTTTGAAATACGATTTGAAATATGATTATTATTAAAGTCATTTTGAATAAACTTTTTTGAGCAAAATCGAATCACACTAAGTTTATAGAATACTACCTATATAAGTATAGACAAGTATAGACTGGACACAATTATCCAATTTATTTTATTCCTCAAACAATTCGAGTAAACAAAGTTTTACTGTATTTTTATAAATATATTTATTTTCTCTAACATATTAATTTTGCTTTTATTGTTTCTATTAAATAAAAAATTTTTGTATTGTAAATGTATTTCTATTTTCAAATTGCTTTTTATATTATTTATTTTAATTCAGCACAAGTTTTGTACTTTATTTTAAGTCAATTTTATTATTACATAATTTTTTTTTTACATAGTTTATCTATCATAAAAATCCAGATGTATGTAACATATTCTATATAATTATTTTTCATGGAATAATATACATAACATAATTCATAAAATAATATATATAGAACATAATATATAGAACAACAGTTCTTAACTCTAATTTTTCTATTCCTTTCTAATATCTTTTTTTTTTAATTAAAAATTGTTAATAAAAAAATTATTTATTCAAATATTTGGTACATATTGTAAATTTTAATTTTAAATAAATCTTGGAAGTACATGATGAATGAAGAACTGCTAATATACGAAATCATTTAGCTCTGCCATTCAAATTTATTTATCAATTATTTGTATAAGATGTTTTAAACAAAAGTTGTTTAATATTAAAACAAGTAATAATACGATATAATAATTAATTTAAAATAAAGTTCATAATTATATATACATATACACATATATATATGACTTTGTTAATGAATTATTAAAAAAAACACTAGCCAACTATGGAATGCATAGTTTAGTCGAATAGTGGTAAATGCCGCCTATCGAACATGAAATACAATTATATATGTATATGTGTGTATAATTTATAATGAATTATTATAAATTAATTATTATATCGTATTAATATATATATTATATACATATGAATATTATATTTATTTATTGTTTGTATATAACCTGATATAATTTTTCATCAATAAAATATTTGTTATATTTAATATTTTTTTTGACATCTTGCTTAGATTTCACGCTTAGTTCATGCTACATTATCGCGGTTCGATTAGGCTCCGTGATTGTTTAGTATTTTTTGTTAATAATTCGTTAACGAAGCCGTAACAAAAGTTCTTGCAAAGGAAAATGTTTGCTTGAAATTATCTCAGGATCTCCAATTTATGAATGTTTCAATATTTTTGGAACACTCTATATATGTGTAATGTACAGTTAATATAATAAAGTAAATATAATTAAAATACTCATAAGACATCTTTAAAATACTCAAAAGACATCAACTCTAATTAAAAGAAACATAAAAATTAGTATACAAAGATATAAGTTAAGATTTATTTATTAAATTATAAGCAATTTGCGTTAGATGAAAGGACAGAAAGAAAGTGAAACTGTTCTTTCTTTGTTCTATCATTGTCGCATTTCATTTCTCGTCTCGTCTAATTAAATATCGAATTGAAATTAAGCAAATATCGATCAACGAAAAACAGAAAGTATATTTCGTTTATCGAATAATCTGCCGGAAACATTTAATCCATACTTTCGTGAAGGAAGAAGGTAGTGTATTATTTCGCCATTATTTGCTGAAAGCTGAAATAATATCAATCTGATCCAATATTCATCCATGTAAATATTTTGGTTTATATGGGGAAAAAAGAAACTGTTTGACCAGATTTATGAAATATATTGTAGAATTTATATTCTATTTGTTTTACTTACGAAAATATTTTTCGAAATAGATGGTTAAGGTAAAAGAATACATTTCTTAATAATCATATAATGTAATTTCATTTATCTCGTTATATTTATCTCGTTAGTTATATTGTTTGAAAACTATATTTTTTTCTTCTTTTTTCTTTTAGATTTCATTTGATCAACTATGTTATTAAAGAAATTCAGATTTTTACGCATAATTGAAATTATATCTTAAAAACTCTATTTATCTTTTTTTTTTTTTGCATTGAAATAAATATCACTAAATATATTATATACAAAATATTAATATATTCGTAAAACACTTTTGAAGAATCGATTTTAAACATCAAAATAAACATGAAATTTAATATAAAAAAATGTTGGTTGAGACTTATTTATTAAGTTATAAGCAATTAAAGTTTGCATTAGATGAAGTGAAACAGATAACAGATGAAATGAGACAATTCTATTTTCGTCATATCGATGTGCTATATTATCGAAATACAATCTTAAATTACTTAATAATTTAATAAATAAATCTCGATTGGTATTTTTGTATGTTAAATTTTGTGTTCGTTATTTTTTTTTATAATCCACTCTTCAAAATTATATTAATATCCTGTAAAATAATAAAGCTTTCTAATTTTTAGAATACGATATTTAATATAATTATTATTTTTTATTATAATTCATTTTTTTCTCTAAGGTTTAGCCGTAATATTGTATTCTGTCATATTAAATTTCTTTAAAATTTTTTTAACACATATTGTTTGATAAAATTACAATTGATAAAATTCCATATTTCTATAATTTTTTTTTTTAAGCATCTATTTTGAAGATATTTGAATTTTATTTAATTCGCCTATTTCAATCTATAAGTTTTCGATAGAATTTATATGTGGATTCTATGGTGGAATATTTAACATATGGAATATGTTGTATAGAATCCATTCTTTCATGATTTGCGCTTTATATTTAGAAGCATTGTTTTGTTGAAAGTAAAAGTCTTCTAACAATCCCAATTATCTTTGAGATTGTTCTTTAAAATATCTAAATATTTGTATTTATCGAATATTCCAATAAATATTAAATTTCTTGTACTATTAATTGCCATACACCATGATTGAACCACTATGTTTTATTGGGCAGACATTTTCGATGTCCAATGCTGTATTTGGTCTTCTCTATACATAATTTCGCCCATCCGAATTAAAAATATTAAATTTAGATTCATTAGAAAATATCACTTTTTCCCAAAAAGCATTA